GCGCGTGTACATGCATATACACACATACATATATAATATATAATAATGAAAAGAGTGGGATTTGAAATCCCTAGAACCCCTGGTTGCTTGATATCTGAAATTGAGCCCTGGATGGTTCGGCTGCACAGAAGTCACATAGCTGCTTCTGCCCTGGCCAAAACCCCGTCATCTCTTGCTTTGATAACTGCAACAGCCCTCATTCCACCCTTATCCCCTTCAATCTATTTCCCACCCAGCAGCCAGAGGGATACTCTTAAAACGTTAACACAGACATATCCCCCTCTGCTCAAAACCCTCCAATGGCTCCCCATTTCTCTTGGAGTAAAAGCCAAAGTCCACACTGGCCTAAAGGCCCTGCCTGACCTGGCCACCCCCTTTGCCTCCAGGCTTTGTAGCCTCTGACCTCATCTCCTGCTTCTCCGCCTCCTCCCTCCCCTCCCGCTGTCCTGGCTTCCTCACTGTTCCTCAAACACAGAGCTTCTCGGCCTCAGTGCTGCTGACATTTTGTGCTGTTGTTCTTTGCCGTGGGAGGCTGTCCTGTGCATTGTGGATGTTTAGTTGTACCCCTGGCCTCTACCCAGGAGATGCCCGTAGCATCCTAGTCATGACAAACTAAAGTGGCTCTAGACATTGCCGAATGTCCCCTGCGGGCAAAATCATCCAGGATTGCGAACCACAGCTCAAACACAACCAGGGACTCACGGCCTTTGTGCTGGCTGTTCCCTCTCTGCCTGGACAGCTGTTGCTCCAGAGGATGCGTGGCCAGTCCCACATCTCCTTCAAGTCTGCTCAAATGTCACTGTCAACAAGTCCCACCCTGACCTCCCTGTTTAATGCACAATCCCTCCCCAACCCCTACTCCAGGTCCCCCTACCCTGCTCCCCCCACCATAATACTTACTACACTCTAACACACTATCTACCTTATTTCTTATGTTTGTTACTTGTAGTCTTCTCTGACAGAATGCCAACGCCAAGAGGCAGGAACTTGTTCGCTGATGGAGCACAAGTGCTTAGAATAGGGCCTGGTCCCTGGAGGCCCCCCAAACTGTTTGTTGAATGAATCAGATTA